TCTTCCAAGTGCTGGTATGTACCACCAGGATTACAGGCATGTACCACTAGGATTATGGGCATTTACCACCAGGATTACAGGCATGTACCACCAGGATTATGGGCATGTAACCACCAGGCTCCACTGGTATGGTGCTGGAGTTTTCTCCATGCTCAGTGAGCACTTTATCTTCTGAGCTGTATCTACAGACCTTTTGTTAATATAAAAAAATTTATTAAATGTGTGATTTGTGTAAGTGTGTTCAGATGCCCATGGATACCATGGATCCTAGGAGATGACCTAGAACTAGAGTTACAGGTGGTTGTGAACTGTCCAGTGAGGGTGATGGGAACTGAACTCAGTTTCCTGTGGAACAGCAGCAGGTGCCTTTAACTGCTGAGCCACCTCTCCAGCCCTAGACCTATCATTTTTTGGATGGCTGTTGTAAATGGTATTAATTTCTTCACAATTGTTTTCCGATGGTTCACTATTGGTACCTAGAATGCTGCTGCGTTTGTGTGTTGATCCTGTATCCTTTAACTTTACCGAATTATGTGCTCGAACAGTATTTCTGATAGAGCCGAGAATAATGTCTCTAAGTTTTGCTTCCTCCTGTCCTGTCTAGATGCTCTCCTTTCTGTCTCTTGCTTAATTTCCGTGCCTTAATTTCTGGCATCTTACACTGTGCTGAGCAACAGTGCTGTTCAGATCTTACAGAAAACTTCTTAAAGAAATTTCTTACCATTTAGGGTGGTGTTTGCTTTTGGTTTGTCATAGATTTTGTGTGTGTGTGTGTGTGTGTGTGTGTGAACTCACTCTGTAGATCAGGCTGGCTTTGAACTCAGAGATCCACCTGCCTCTGCCTCTCGAGTGCTGAGATTAAAGGTGTGTGTCACCACTAACCACCAAATTATTTTTTATAATTAATTTATTTAGAATTTTATCATGAAGAAATGTTGAATCTTATAAGATGGTTTTCTTGCCTGCCCTGAAATGATCACACAACTTTTCCTGTTTGGTCTAGACATGTGATATATCCCTTTATTGGTGATTTCCCCCACCTCCTCCCCTTCTTCCTCTCCTCCTCTCCTCCTCTTTTCTTCCTTATTCTTCATCTCTTTCCTCCTTTGCAATATAGCTTCATGGACACTCGGCAGATACACCACCGCCTCTCACCTCCGCCACCGGACCCAGAGGACCATTGAAAATGAGCTGTTGGGTTGACTCTCTGTTAACACTTTATTTAGAATTTTTTTGCAGCTGTATTCACAAGGGGTGCAGTCTGTGTTTTCTTTTTGTTGTGTGCTTGTCTGGCTTTAGTACTAGTGTAATTCTGGCTTTATAAAATGACTTTGGAACTAGTCCCTCTCCTTTGAGCTTGGGATACCTGTAATCCTTTTACAGATGGAGGCTCAGGAGTTCAAGGCCAACCTGAGCTACATGAGACTCCACCACCCTCAACTCCAATAACGGATGCTCTTCAACTCTTCATGGAATGGAGCAGTGAACCACGGGGTTCTCTTTGTTGGAAGTCTTTTTTTTTTTTTTTAAATTACCAATTCACTCTCATTCCAAATTATTGGTCTGTTCAGGTTTTGCTGCATAGGATTCTCTTGATGAACTGTATTCTCTGTTATCATGATTCTGTCTCGAAGGCAGGCTGTCATGAGGCCCATTTTGTCTGACAGGAGTCTGTGGTATCCTTCTCTTTCATGGTCATTGTTTACTTGGAGTAGCTTTTTTTCTTCTTCCTTCACTTTCAAACTATGCCCATAAATCTGCACCTAAAGGTCTCATTTGGGTAGCCAGTAACTGAACTTAAAAAACCCATCCAATCAGGCCTGGAGAATTGGCTCATCAGTTAAGATTATTCATTGCTCTCACAGAGGACCAGTTTGACTCCCATCCCACATGGGACTCACAACAATCTGTAATTCCAGTTCAGGGGGTGTCTAATGTCCTCTTCTGGCCTCCATAGGCACCAGACACACATCTAGTGCACAGACACATGCAGACAAAATACCTATATATGTAAAATAAAATAACCCAACAAGCCAAACAAAACAAAAACTCCAAACCCATTCATGTGTTCCGTGTTCTGTTTAAAGAGTGTGGTTGACTTGGACTTGGCATGGTGTTGGTGAACACTGTCTTCTGTCCTGTAGTTCCTGCCCTCCATTCTGTTTCTTATTGTCTTGTTTGCCTTTGATCATTTTTTATTGTTATATATTTTGATTTCTTTCTTCTTTGTGTTTCTGCCACACATTTTTCTCTGTGTATACGAGGCTGACATAAGACATCTTATAGTTAGAGCAGCCTATTTTTAACGGATGACAATTTCACGTACATTAAAATAAACTACTCATTAACAGCTTCTTCCGCCACTTTTTATGTTGTTATTGTCACAATGATGAACTAATATTCAACAAAAGTGCAAAAAATGTAATGGAGAGACTTTTCAGCGAATGACAAACCATTTTATCACACATCACATGAAACTGATCCAAAGAACAGTCAATTTCTTATGAGATTTAACATCCAGTCACCACACTTAGCCGTGCAACTAAGCATTACTGAGGAGAAATGGAGACAGATACAGATATACACATGGAAATCTATGTGCAAATGCTTGCCATTGCTCTGTTATCAATCATGCCAAACTGGAGGCAATCTGGGTGCCCTGAGCCGGAGGATGGAATAGCCAACTGTGGCATGCCCCTGCAGTGGGGTGCTCACCAGCAATAGGAATGGGTTACTAAAGTGTACAAACAATATGGATAGATTTTAAGTGAACTATTCCAGGTGAAAGACGAAGTCTAAAGAGTCTTCCTACTAGGTAAACCATTCTTACAGCATAGAAAAGAACAGCTCGGACACAGGGGCAGAAAACACATCTGGGCTTTCTGGGGATTGCCAATGCGGAAGAACCAACTGAGGCACCAGGAGGGCTTCCTTACCCTGATGGTGGTCATGGTTATATGACTGGATGTTTGTCGAAACTCTAAAACTATATACTAAAACAATTGTATTTTATTTTATGCAAAATTTACCCCCAATAAACCTGACCTAAAAAAACGCCATTGACTTCAGGGCAAAGCTTCAGTGCCTTCCTGGGTGGTCAGTGAGTCTCCTGCAATGGTGTGGGGTGAGGGGTGAGACAGAGACTGGTGTCCTGAATCCTCTGTACTTTTCCTTCCAGGGGCGTCTCCTAGTCTGAAACCTGTACTACATCCCCGTCTAACTGTCCCTTGCTCTTCTTCTCTCTGCATTGCTATGCTGAGAGTCCTTGAGGGCACTCTGCCTGCTCCCAGTCTTGTGCTCAGCAAACAAGTCTTTGTTGAATGAATGAGTAAGTGGATGATGAATGGATGAGTTCTATGGATAAATGTTGCACACTTACATTGAGCATTTTAAAAAGACATTTTTCCTTGTAGATTAACACAAAACTTTCTGGGTAGCAAGTTGTTCAGTACTAGGGACTCAACTACTCAGCGCTTTAGGAATATAGGACAAGTAATTTACCACAGAGCTATACCTCCAGGCTTGTCACTGTAATTTTAATCCAATCATAGATTATGGCCAAATTAGACTTTATCCTTTGTCCCTACAAAGAATTCTAATCTAAAAGGGTACCATGTCTACTCTTCCAGATATTATATTTGTGTTCTCCAATGTATCATCTTCTTTGCTGCCTTAGTAATTTCTCTGAAGTACCATTTGGATTAAATCCAAATTTACTGCTCACTGACTTAATGATATACTCCTCTAGTTAGCAGCGTATTCAATTGATTGGGCTGGGGATGGAGCTCAATGGTAGACCAGTTGCCTAGCATGCCTGAAGTCCTGGAGTTCATCCTTGACATTCTCTCTCTCTCTCTCTCTCTCTCTCTCTCTCTCAAAATGTATCATGAATCATGTCTTGGTCACTGTTCTGTTGCCATGAAGAGGTACTGCAACCACAGTGGCTCTTATAAAAGAAAGTGTTTAACTGGGAGCTGCCTTACAATTTTAGAGGTTTAGTCCATTATCATCATGGCGGGGAGCATGGTAGTACTCAGGTCTCTGGAGCAGTAAGAGAGAGCTACATCTCGATCTATTGGCTGAGAGAGAGAAAGAAAGAAAGAAACGCTGGGCCAGGTGTGGGCATTTGAAAACCTCAGGGCTGGAGAGATGGCTCAGGGGTTAAGAGCACTGGCTGCTCTTCCAGAGGACCTGAGTTCAATTCCCAGAAACCACATGGTGGCTCACAACCATCTGTAATGAGATCTGGTGCCCTCTTCTGATGTGCAGGCATACATGCAGGCAGAACACTGTATACATAATAAATAAATCTGAAAGAAAGAAAGAAAGAGAGAGAGAGAGAGAGAGA